GTGAGGGATCTTTCGGCAAGGTTTATAAGTGCCTCGAGAGGACAAGCGAGAAGACCTTCGCAGTTAAGGAATTACCGCGAAGTCAAGCGCTCTCTATGGAAACCTTTAATAACGAAGTAGAGATTTGGAAAGGTTTGGAGCACGAAAACATTGTTTCGTTGCACAGAACATTTCGAGACCACTCGTTCATGTATCTTGTTTGTGAACACATCGAAGGTGGGAGTTTATTCGATGAGATTGTGGGACACAAAGTCTATGGCGAAGAGCAAGCTCGCAACATCATGAAACAAGTAAGTAAAACTAATAAAACTTTTCTGGCCCTGCTTTAATTTTGTGTTGAATTGTTCATTGTTTTAAAACCTCTCAGTGGCTTTTTCATGGGTTGATGGTAAGCAGTCTAACTTCCAATACAAGAGTGCTTAGTCATTTTTCGCCAGGTAATTGAGTTTATTTGCCAGGCCCCTCCCTTAGAAATATTTCTCAAAGTTAAAAATGTAGTTTTTTTTTACAATTATGTAATAATTTTGAAACACTGTAGCCTTCATTTTTTTAAAATATAAACTGAATATATAACATACTTTCCTATGGAGGGTTTATGAACTCCGTTGATATTGGCCAAGTCCAATTTTAATTTACTGATTCATGAAAAAGACCGCAAAGCAGACAGCTTCACAATTATATCATCCTTCCTTCGCCTTTTACCATCCGACTTTACAGTTTTCCGTTTGTTTTTAATAATGTCAAAGTAAACGGATGGAGCCAAGTACTTGGCCTGCAATGTGCTCAGTCTTTGGCAAAAGCTAGCTATAGTGGTACTGTACCAAAGAGGCCGGGCTCACTGTAGTTATGTCAGCATGTAAGGCGGATATCGATGTTCTAAGTTGAGATCATAGTACAAAGAAGTTCTAATTATCCAATCGGCGATGTCATAACAAGGATGTTTATTCAACTGCAACCGAGCGTTGCAAGATGTTTTGTCTGGAGTCCCATGATCGCGAAGTCACGATACAGTCAGAATATAATATAAAATATCAGAAACGTCATCGCTTTTCTTTGTAAAAACAATTTTATGATTTCGTCTGTTTTTGCTCACGTATTATCAAACGCGCAACATTGCATTGGCTGAAAGATCGGTGGAAAAATAATCCTTTTCTTGATTTTCGAATTTTGTCTGGTACAAAACTGGATCCGATTTTCCGCTTTACATAAATTTCTTTTCTTAAGTTCTCGCAGCGATATGGAGAGGAAACGGGAACTTGAAAGACTCTTGACATTACCCGAGGCGTAGTTAACATCCTTTTAAATAGAATGCGCTGTTGTTACTGACACGAGGAGAGACAAAAACACTATCCGACAGCTTCACCCTACAGTACCTTGCAATTGCGCCTTATAGTCTCAAGCCAGGAGCCCATAACCCTGCCGTCAAGCCTTTGTTTTAGTTTCACCTTTAAACTATTTTTGGAACAAGGCCTCTATTTCAAGACCGCCCTCAAATCATTCATCACCAGTGACGTACTCTTAAGTCCTCGGCCTTTTCTTTTTACTGGCTTTTCGGAGTCTTCAGTGAGTTGGAGAAAAGTTTTTTTTTTGAAACGAAACGTATGTTAAATCCGTGACTATGAAAAAGGCCTTGGAGCGTTAGAAAGACTTTTATCATTAGCCCTGGCACACAACAGTATAATTATATGGGTTATTGCGGACCAAGCGTGAGGGCTGGATATTGGCCATCTTCTTTTTTTGAATACTAATTAAACCATCTTGAACGAACTCGTTCAAGCTTTAATGTCAATAAAGAATTTACTATAAGGCCAAAAGAATTTTTTCTTGCGGCATCAACAAGGGCCTTGCCCGATCGGGCAGCCCCAGGCGTAAAATAAATAGCAATTACTTATAACAATTGATGATTGTTATAACTTCTACTTTTTGGCATTACTTAATTTTGCATTGGCTGAATACGATGCTTTTGTTTTGCAGCTTTTACAAGCCCTAAACTACCTTCATGGAAAGCGTATTGTTCATCGAGATGTTAAAGCAGACAATCTTCTGATCAGCCGATCCAAACACTCGGATCATGTGACTGTGAAACTCGCCGACTTCGGGTTGGCACGAAAACTACCCGAACACTCTGATGTGATTGGTTGTGACGCAGCTGGTGCGCCGTTATTTCTAGCGCCAGAAACGATATTGGAAGAACCGATTGGCCAGCCAGTCGACTTGTGGTCCTGCGGTGTGATTTTATTTATTCTTCTTGCGGGCTACCCTCCATTTTGGAGCAGCAACGACGAGAAGTTGTTGCTGTCTATTCTCCAAGGGAATTACTCAATGCCTTCGCCCTATTGGAACAAAGTCTCAAACGAAGCGAAAGATCTTGTTCAGCGGTTACTCGTTGTGGAACCTGGTCATAGATTGACAGCTTCAGAGGCACTCAACCATCCATGGATGCAAATGACCCCGCTACATTCATCTCAGAAACCTACTCAGAGGCGAAACTTCGCAGCAGTAATTTGCGGAGTACGCGCAATGTTGAAGTTTCGAAAAATGAACTTCCAAGCATCTAGCATCAAACTGACAACTGCTAGAATCGGACCTTCTGGGCTAGACGATTCTGGCCGCTGTTAGTAACCTATTTGCAATGTCACACGAGATTGTAATCTGTCAATTTTTCTCCTCAGTTCTCATCCGCACTACAAAATCACTTGCTTGACGCTAGAACTGACGGAATGTTTGTTCCAGGTGGACGGCCGAAAAAAGGAATGAACAACATTTTAAATTCGCGCAATAAAGATGACAATAGAATATACATATTCTACAGCATTATCAACATTGGCGTCTTCAACTAGTTTGATTTGTTTCTTCAAATCGTGACAGCAGGAAATTTTTATTGCTTGTGTTGAACAAAAACAATGGCTCGCTGAACGTTTTTCTCCACGATACCACTCAAAATAAAGAATCAATTTCTTTAGCTACTTTACACTTTCAATGTACATATTTATAATTTACACTAATATTTGTGTATGCACTGGATATTCTTATTAAAAGCAACAGCAATAGCATTAACACTGGCAATATCAGTAACAAATTATAAGGACGAATATTATAAGTAATTATTGGATGAGGTTTTTGTGATATCCGGAATAATCAAGGTCCAGGTAATTGTTATCAGCTGAGCCAAAGGCCGAGACTGATAACACTTACCAGGACCGTGATTATTTTGGATACAAAAACCCAATCTAAAAATTGCTTTATTATACATTGTTTTGAAGAAAATAAAAACAAACACAGCATTGCATCGAACAGAGATTGATGTAGCTCTTGGAAATCATTCTTTGCACTTGCAACCTGGTTACAGATTAGTTGCTAATCTGCTAGCAGATAATCCCTAACTAATCAGTAGGTTGCACTGATTTCCAAAATTAACTGTAGGATCTTAGCCAATGAGAAGACAGATAGTGAGTACAATGGGTAATCATCATCATCATCATGAATGATACATTGATAAATATGTTGTGGTTCAATTTTATCCTTGGTTTAAATTTTATTTTCTTTTGTTTCAAAACTTGTTATCAGACATTACCAATTACCCAAAAACATTTATACCAAGGATAAAATTGAGTCACAACACATACATCATCATCATCAATACAGTGCAAATGATCAAATGCATATAACAATCAAATTACTTGAGGAGTATTAATTATTACAACAAAATGGTTTTTGACATACTTTTCACTTATGGTTCTCAAATTATAAACCTATCACACAATATACTGGCAATAGGCCGGTTTCGTATTCCCGGGCGGCCTAGGAAGAGTGCTCGTTTTTGTGCAAAAGCGAGGCTACTGTGGGTAACTTCTCACCAAGAAGACAAACAAACCTGAGAAAACTGCAGCTGAGTTGCTGAAAAAAAGGAAAATATGAAACGTTGAAAGGTTTTAGAGGTCTCAAAACTTACTTGTAGGCTTGATAAATAATTGTTTCAAACAGCAAAAGGAAAATCAGCTCATCATCACTAAGAAAAACAACGAGCCTGACCAGAAATTGACCGAAATAGTGGTTGGCAAAATTGTGTGACCCCAGAGTTCCTATTCTCTTTCCATGAAATATATCAGAAAGTGATATCAATTTTGTATTCCCTGACAACCCTGGAACAAGCACAATTGCGAGGCTAATGTGGGTCAACTTCTTTGCAAATGCAAAAACAAACATAGGTAATTTGCCACTGAGTCACTGGAAAACGATAGAAATCTTAAAAAGAGTAAGATTTCAAAGCTTAAACTTTACCAGTAAGCCAAAGGAAAAAAGCGACGAAGCCATGAAAAGAAGAAGTAAACTTTTTAAGCTTGAAAAGGGTAAAGTTTGTTAAAATGACGATATTTTATTCCCTTTAATTATCTTACTTCTTAGTATTCTATTTTACTCTTGTGTATATCTGTAAAATGGAGTTTAAACTGCTCAGTATATCATCTGCATAAAGTTCTGTGTTCGAGTTCTTGTCGAGTGAAATATGCGTACGTTTTTCTTTATGTGACTGAATAAATAATGTAAGCCAAATGTAAGCTTATGTATAAATAGACTTATACTATTTTAGTCATCTTTGTTTAAACCGATTTAACTTCCTTACAGTGCAAGGAATTTATGCAGAGCGTCTGCCCCTTTGGTTTATCGTTTTTTGAATACACAAGATTTTGCATTTGCTCCATTAGAAAAAATGTCAACTAAAAAGAAGGTTTCGGTCTAACTTGCAGGCTTTCAACAAGTACGTACACTCCAATGGAAGGTACGGCTTAAAGAAGTTTTAACAATCACCGAAAATAACGCTAAAATGGCTTCAGGGTATTACCTGGTTTAAGGATTTTGAACCAATGACTAATAATAATAATAATAATAACAATAATATTTATAATAATATTTAACTATTACAACTTAAAATGACATATTCTTTACATCATACAAGTATACTTTTATGCAGAAGGGAGGCCATTCAAATTTAAATTGCAAGATCACATAACTTTCAATTGTTCACGCAAATATTCCATGGGTAGTTGCAACAATGAGGCTTGAAGACATGTAAGTGGTTTGGGCATGTTACCGATCAAGTGCCAAGCGCCTCCTTGGAAAGAATAGCACTCCACACTGCCAATCTCTGTCTCTCCATCTTCACCCCCAAACAGATAGACACAATCTTCGATGCTCACTATACCACATGCAGCACGAGGTACAATGGGACCAGCCACTATGTTCCATTCATTAGTGCTTTTGATAAAGATCTCACAACTTTCCACCAGGTTTTCACATTCCATGTCTGCATAACCACCAACCACAATTATTTTATCCCCAGAAGAAGCCGCAGCAGCAGCAAACTTACGCTCATTCGTCATAGCTGGGGCCTGAGACCATTCATCATTTGATGGATCATAACATTCCATGCACTTTAAACAAACACTATTATCTTGACCTGCTATAATATAGATTAGTCCGTCAAGGCCAACTGCACAGTGAGCAGCCCGAGGAAACTGCATCGGGGACAGGTCTGTCCATCTGTTAAGCTGAAAACTATACTTGCTAACAGAGTGCAAGATTATTCCCCTGTCCTTTTTGCCGCCAATCATATACATTTCTTCCTTGTGAGTAGTAAGTGTTGCACCCATGCGAACTGGAATCATCTTATCTTTCTTAGTACACCATTTATTTTGAAAAGGGTTGTAATAAGACAGAGCTGCACGTTCCTGACCACCCACCACAAACAAATGACCATTACAAACTGCTGCTGCATGTCGTGAGCGACCCACAGTCATCTTTGGTAACTCTACCCACTGTTTTGTGGCAGGCAAAAAGCCAAAGGTTTTTCTTGAAGGTGGATACATTTGACAAGGTATTACATGGCCACCAGTAAAAACTACAACAGGCTCATGTGTCTTGAGGCATAAACGAGGTCTTTCGAGTAGTCTGAAACCCGCATCATCTGAAAAAAGAAAAGAACTCATTCTTTTAAGGACAGTGCTCATACACTCCTGGTTTTTTAAGACTAGTTCTTCGTTCGCCACTATTTCTCGCAGACTGAACTTCGACATAGAAAAGATACGAACACATTTGAGAAGCTCGGGGAAGAATGACTCACGGCTAACCATATCGTGTTTCACCCAGCGGATAACAGCTTCATAAACTTCCTCCTCTTTGGAAACAATTATCTCGTCTTGGGATATAAACATCTTAACCTTGTTATATTCCAAAGTTTTGAAATCTTCCGACTCAACGACGCAGGTAAAATGCTGGCATATGTACTTTAACGCAGCTCGTTTCAGCGAATCACAATGAAACTGGCAAGCAAACGATTCCATGGCCAAACAATTCGAAGCATTAATCGTGTTCTCCATGAACTCTGAAGCTTTCGCTTTTAACGATGGAATAATCAGGTAATCGGCTGCTACAATCACGTCTTGTGCATTAGAACTGTTAACTGTAGCTTCTCCAGTGTAAATAAATTCAAGAACTTCGTTTATTGCAGTACATTTGAGTAACTGAAGTTCAATGAGGTTGCTTTCGCTTTCACCCAGCTCTGTTGTAAACAGCCCACGAAAATACAAACTACCAGCAGACAAAACACATCGGTGAGCTGGAAACTCTTTTCCTTCAGCTCGAATTGTTGTGTCGCAAAGCAGTTTTGAGTTTCTTAAGTCATTCAGGCTGCGAAACACTTCATCTTTAAACTGATGGTCGGCTATTCGAGTTTGGTTTTCCGCCATTTCTCCCGCCATTTATGGATCAATGTCCATATAAATCTACACGAGTTGTCCTTAACACTATTCTAGTACCCAGATCTCCTCTCGCGGCTACGAGATTATAATGATTATAACATGCATCAGAGAGGAGGGGTACGGAAGCGGTCGCCTGTACTGCAGAGACACTTTTTTTGTTTTTTTTCCTTTGGAAGTTTATCACGGAATTTTATCATTGATATAGTATTTCACAACGTAATGACATACTTTTTGACATTGCCCCACAAGGGCCATAAATGCAAAGATAGACATAGGGTCTATTAAAGGAGCATGTGCGAGACTTGAGCAGTCCAAGCTGAATCAACGAGCCGTCGGCCATATTGGATTTTAGGTCGGTTTCTCCGGTTTTTTGTTACAATACATTTTATCCATCTTTGGATAGCGCTATCCACCGGATAAATCACTATCCAGCGGATAACAAGAGAGGATAAAGGGGACAGAGAGGGCATCTCCCATACACACCCTGTTCCATAGGTAATTCGTCTCGAGTTATTTTTAGAATCGGGATAAAGTTACCTCGCGCGCTGCGTGGATGTTTCGGGGAGGTTCTGCATGACTAAACGCCGTGCAAAACTTCAGGGCGGAAAAACGTAATGAGCATGCGTGAACTTTTTTGCCCAGATCCTCTGGCCGGGTTTGAAAAAATGGCGGGATTTCAAATATTTCATTGCCTAAAAATAAAATGTTTCCACTCATAAGCTGGAAAGAACAGGCAATTTGTCTTCAAAAGTTGCAAGCTGTGGTTATAACCTTGTCGTTACTTAATTTTCTCGAAGAATACTTCATAGTAAAACGGACTTTAACGACATTAATTTCCTTGCGTTGTACTGGAAATGTGCATGCGTGGTCCGATTTTTTTCAAGATGCATTCACGAAATGAGTTCATATAAGGAAGTTCCTGGATATATAAGGTCCGGAGCTCCACTGTGGACACAAAAACAACATATCTTTGGACAGTGATTTGCCCAAAAAAATTAACGCTTGCCCACAATGTGTTTGAAGTCACTGAACTTTGTCTCACGTGAGCTGACATTTTAAACCCTTGCTCGATCGGACACTCGTAGTTTCGCAGATCACTAAAATATAAACAAAATCCTCAATGTAGAAGTTATTGCGTTGATATGTGGGCAGAAAAAAGGTCAATCTTTATCCAGTAAAATCCTCCAAAAATCGGTTTCAAAGCAACTATAGTTTTTTAAACTTGCTCGTTTCGCGCAGATATATAAATTTTGCTTTGTGTTGTCAAGTTGAACACGCATAACATCTGTCAAAAACCAACGCGTAAGTAGGATTTCCTTCAAACAAAGTTTAAGTTACATTATTTCAAAAACTTCTTGCTGACAATGAAGAAATGAATTTTCTGTGCGAAAGCAACCTACCTAAAGATCTTACAAGCAAAAGATCAGTTGCAACTTGGCAGCCAAGCCATGATTCACCATTTAGCTATTTTCAATAAGGTTGACCGGTCCATGCGAGGGTCTTCGTTTAAGCAAATTAAACTCAGCCGATCATTAGAAAATACAGAAAATTGCACATAAGGGTTTGTTTTGCTCACCTCAGTCAAATCCAGCTGCAGCAACTGTTTACGAGAAAAGAGTCAATTGTTTTGAAGTCACTGCCGGGAGTTATCGTTCTCTACTTCACAGCGAGTGAAAAGGACAATTTGCGTACAGAAAGTTATTCTTATAAAGAACAGAAACTTTCACAGTGCACTGGAAAACAAAACTATGTAATGAAAAATGAAAAAAACTATGACTATTATTAATTGAGCAACAGAAAAATGATCTTGGGTAAACTTGCTGGCCTTCTATTTCCTTAATAAGCGCACAAGTTTGTTCACTCTGATGCGTTATAACAGCAATATGGTTCTTTGACTGAACACAAAGATGAAACTGGTTCTGCAAAGGTAATAAATCTGGGCATGTAAAAAAAGTAACCGTAACTACTAATAACAGAATACAAGCGGGTTTTAATTCAACCCGGCGAAATCAACTCATAAATTCATCGGATGCACAATCAGAAAAATACTCGCCTCTTAAGAAATGTTCAAAACCTTTTATTCCACCTCAGACTGACGGAATGATCCGTTTTTCCTTTAACATTGGTTGTTCTGAATCCAAACTAAGTTTCAAGCGACGATAAAAAAGAAAACATGTCAAATAAAAATGCTTTACAGGGAGCAAACGTTCGCACCTCGTGCATTTCACTCAGAACTCCACCAACAAACAAACACAGTCAACACACAGAAAAGCCCGCCTTGAGCCTGCGATAAGGGATGCGCAGAAGCTTGCGCAGAACGTTTTTCCGCCCTGAAGTGCAAAACATGTCGGGCGAAAGGCAATGAAAGCGTTATAGTCAGGAAGCACTGTCACGCAGGGCGCTCATTTTCCATTTTCGCTAAACATTTTGAGTAGAAGCAGGCAACATGGCTTAAAATCTTCATCTTGCCATCCTGATTAAGAATTGTGCCGTTGCCCACTCCAAATGTTATGACATCAGTCATTAAGCGGGTTTTTTGTCTAGGCCCTCGCTCCTGCAGCATGAAAACGAGGCTGAATTGTAACATTTATATAAATCCAATAAAAAGTGCACAATACGATGGGGAAATAGCTGAATCTTTGCTACTTGACGTTTAGAGCTCGATAGACAGTAGTGCGGGAGATAAAATGTGTCACGTCATCAGTTATGAAGAGTCACGTGACTTTCCAATAAAATCGATTTTAAAGCATAAAAGATGCTCTATTCACACTTTCCTTTAACATAGTTTTTAACTTACCGACGTTTCTCATTTCGATTCACACATCCAACAATAAAAACACAAAAATTGCAATAGGTGATCAGCTATGATGGGTCACGTGACTAGATAACAACAATTGAATAGATACTGAATTAGCCTTAGCTGTGTAAATAGCGTGATTGATCAATTGTTTTAGTAAGCTCTTCAGGAGTTACTTTCTATAAGAAATTTTAAAAAAACTATGTTTCATGGGGTAAATATGTACTTCAATCTGTCGGAAACATTGGCCACTAAGTTTACGACTGGGAACGACGATGATGCATTAGTAGATGCCCTGACTAGCAGTGAGCTTGTTAATGAAGTTGGACAAGCTGCACATATCATCAAAGCTTTTGATGCCACACATCATGACAACCCCTCGTTCTGTTACTGGAGACAATACATGAAACTGGTGTCCATCTTACTGAGGTTTACGCGTGTGATCCGGGAAGGGAAGTGGGATCTGTATCTCTCTTCGTTCTCCGAAATGCGTTGAAACCAGGCTAATCAAGAAAGAAATAAAGTTCCATGACACTCTAAAGCAACAGAAGGTGAAAACCTTTGAGACACTTTACACTGTACCAGTGTCAGTTGATAAGAGCAAGACCATCGCCATGAAAGCAGACAAAGATCTCTTGAGAAGGGTGATAGCATCCTTGGAATCCGGTCGTGATGTAGATGTGAACACGTTGCTTCAAAGCGAACTTGCTCCAGTCCCAAACTCACTTGCTACCCTTAACGGGAGTCTACGAGAAGCATGGAAGTCAGATCTTGGTACCATTTTACAAGGAAATGTCTGTAAGAGCCATATGCCCATCAGCAGGAGTCAAACATGTACTATTATTGATGGAATGGCAGCTGTTCAGCCCCTCGCCAACTCTTCAGGAGTAAAAACCTTTGGGTAGAGTGACCGATTTCTTCGTCATGTCACTTCCCATTTTCCGGACAGTTGTACAAGGGCTGACGTGCTATTTGACAGATATGCCAAGAACTCAATAAAAGGAGGAACCAGAGACAAGCGCAAGGAGAAAAAGAGCACAGGGATTAGGCGCAATGTGGATAACAGAGATCATAGAATTGGAAACTGGGAAAGGTTCATCATTCTAGAAGATAACAAGGCTAGGCTAGCTCATTTCCTCTCGACTGAAATCTCGGAGAGTTATAGCGCGCCTCCTGGGCGAGAGCTGGTGATCAATGGAGGCTTCAAGGATACACTGAAGGTGTGGTCATCTAACACGTTACGACAAGATATAAGAGAGCTCGCATCAGATCATGAGGAGGCAGATACTAGAATAGTACTGCATGCCCGAGACGTAGCAGCAAGAGGGTACAAGCAAGTCAACATTTTGTGTCGTGATACGGACGTTCTTGTCCTCCTTTTGGCACACCGAGAGCAGCTTTGTCAATAGATATGGATGTTTGCGGGTACTTCAAGACAAAGGCGTTACATACCAGTTCACAGAATCCCGCTCTCCGAGGAGAAGAGGAGGTCGCTTCTGGCATTTCATGCCGTTACTGGCTGTGATACGACAAGCCAGTTCTATGGTGTGGGCAAGGCATCGGCATGGAAAGTCTTCGAAGATGCACCTGACCTCTTGGAACACCATGGAGAAGAAAGCCAAATCAGTGCTGACGTTCTTGCCAAAGCTGAAGCCTTTGTATGCAAACTCTACAATCCGGGAACACCAGAGGTGGAAATCAACAAAGAAAGAGCAGCAGCGTTTCGCAAATCCAGGAAAGATCTCGACGCCCTACCCCCGACTCAAGATGCACTGATTCTCCACATAAAGCGGGCAAACTATCAGACCATGGTATGGAATAAAGCGCTGGAACCATGTCCTTCTCTCCCAAAGCCTGAAGACAGCGGATGGTACTACAGTGAAGGCCTTCTGAAGCCAAAGTTAATGACGCGAGAAGTGTCAGCGGCGTGTTTACAGTTAGCATACTGTAGGTGCTCCCGAGAAGGTGGATGCTGTGTAAACCGACGCTGCACTTGCGTTCAACTATCTCTTTGCGGTTCCAAGGCATGTAAATGTGGCGACAGGTGCAGAAACGACAGGAACACTGTCGCAGAGGCGAATGAAGCATGACCTATAACTTTGATAAGGTGGAAGTCACATGCTGGTCTTGTGTAATATAAGATACTTTGCTTATGGTTTATAAGCTTGTATTTCTGGCTTAAAACGTGCGGCCGCGTAGAAGAAAGTTCAGTCTTTTTACATGAAAAATCCTAACTCATGGAAATTTAACATAGGTTGGAAACGCTATAGAATGACTGAAAATAGAATGATTTCATTACATCACGTGACCCATCATAGCTGATCACCTATTGCATTTTCGTGTTTTTATCGTTGGATGTGTAAATCCAAATGAGAAACGTCAGTAAGTTGAAAACTATATTAAAGGAAAGTGTGAATAGAGCATCTTTTATGCTTTAAAATAGATTTTTTTGGAAAGTCACGTGACTCTTCATAACTGATCACGTGACACATTTATAGCTCCCACACTACTGTCTATCGAGCTCTAAACGTCAAGTAGCAAATATTCAGCTATTTCCCCATCGTATTGTGCACTTTTTATTGGGTTTATATAAATGTTACAGTTCAGCCTCGTTTTCATGCTGCAGGAGCGAGGGCCTAGACAAAAAACCCGCTTAATGACAGATATCATAACATTTGGAGTGGGCAACAGCCCAATTCTTAATCAGGATGGCAAGACGAAGATTTTAAGCTATGTTGCCTGCTTCTACTCAAAATGTTTAGCGAAAATCGTTTTTTGGCGAGCTGCCTCCTGACTATTAAGAGATCGAGAGCATTTCTGAATATTGAAGCGAAATGAGTCGGCGCTCACCTGGGAAAAGGAAATCGCTAGACTCTTTGACAACCCGTGAAACCAGTTTAACTCGAAGTTGTCGTAACCTCAGTGCTTTAAAAAAATGAGAAATTTCGCCGGTCTATTGAAACCGGTCGTTTGTATAATAAAGCAAGTAGGACGCCAAGTGTTATTTTTGTTGAATAATAAATGACTTATAAAAGAACAGATATCAAACCAGAAATAGCTATCTTCAAACTGTAAATTATAAATGATCCTGAGAGAATATTCAGTGTGTTAAGGATTTCCCTGCTATACTGTTAGCTCTATACAAGAGAGGAAGGGCGATTCTTTTTTAATTTCTGTTTTCTGACACAGCTTTAGCAGAAATCTCTCTTTAGTCGTTTTCGTCGACAAAACAAATAGCAATATCGCTCTCCGCGTCTTCTGCCATGTTTTTCTGCGCCAATTCGTGAAGGACGCGTGGCTCTGAGCGTGGGTCATCCACGCGGAACACATTAGCCCTATGTGATTGGCTGTTGTCTAACCCCCCTTGGGATCTATGGTCTTAAAAATAACTCGAGACGAATTACTTATGGAATAGGTTGTGTATGGGGGTGCCTTCTCTGTCCCCTTTATCCTCTCTTGGCGGATAAGTATTACGGAAATCAATTACGCTATCCGCTGGATAGTGATTTATCCGGTGGATAACGCTATCCGACGTTTGAACAACTGGGGCATGGACCATTAGGAGTTAGAATTATGGCCACGCATGAGCTGGAAAGATCCTTAGCAGTAAGTTCCTTCGATGTTGTAGAGCTGACAAAAATTTGTGAATTGTCAGCAGTCGTTTTAAGAAATAAGCGTTGACGGGCCAAACACGACTCATAAGCTCGTCATATGTGAAACGTGACCTTGAGAGTCTGCGTAAACTGTGGTTCTCTTTCGTTTTCTCTCCCGTGCGAAGGTTACTACCACTACCCAGTGCATGTAGCATTATAAACTTTGACTGGGTGAATCTTGTTTTTGCCGCACCAAGTCTTATATTTAGAGGTCGTGAAGCAGGTTTGTTACATGCATACTGAGTATTCATTTCCTGTGGTTAATGCTTCTGTAGGTGTCCCTGATAGGATTTGATTTCAGATGCAGTTGTTAAGTGTTTTATATCCTTTGACCTCTGTTTATTACGGCTGAATAAAGATTTTAGTTCTTTTGGTTTTCTCCGAAATGACTGTATCTGAATAACTACATGCATGCATGCAAGTTTCTTTGTCCGTGAATGTAATTATTTCCTGCCATGTCAGTATGACTCTGGGCCCATCTCTATAGTGTGGTTTGCAGGATTTTGAATTTCCACGGATAGTACGATCTTCAAATTTGAGTTGTACACTGCAGCTTAAACTAAAGCTACACCAAGTTTGGAGAAATATGCCGTGCGTCAGTCAAGATAATTCTCTTAGCGCTCACACAGTTCATTTAGTTTTTCTTAACATAAATGAGTCTTTGAACTATAGCGCGATGTCTTGTTGTCCCTTTGGCGGGTATTTACTTAAGTTTTTGCTTGAGTCGTCTATGCGACTGTTATGAATTCTTAAGCAAGACTGCAGTTTCGGAACTATAGCGTACCTCGTCAGTTGCTACTATGGTGAAGTCTTAGGTACAGAGAGCGAAGCAGACTGTTTAAATACTGGTGGCTAGGATCACGATCGAAAATACTAACTTGCTATTGGCTGCAAAAGTGACCAATAGCGTAGGTGTATCTTTGATCCGCGTTTCGTTGTGCTTCCTTCAAGGTCAAAAATGCTTTTTTGGGCTGAACCGGTATGATAGTATCTTACTAGGTTGCAGTGATGCCAGGTCCCTGACATGTCCTAGTGCGTGTAAGTGTCTTTCTCAGGAGATCCGAGATGTTTTCTCGTAACTTTCTCCGGCAAAACAACAAACTGGTACGGTCGATTGGGAAATCTGGATTTAGATTTTAAAATCTACATATCAGATTTGCAATAAAACGCGAAATCCGAAAACGGATATCAACGCTGAGAAATCTGTCTTTGGATTTACTTTCTTTCTGTTTTTTATAGGATCTGAAATACAACGACAGCGGTCTCGAACGCGAACGCACAATGAGTCGGAAGAAAAGATCGCTGTTCACAAGAGCAGTTTTGGAGTCTTTTCGACGGTACGGTCTAGCTTGATCAAGGAGATTATTTTTAAACATTTAGTGTTATGATTTTTATATATATACAATAGGGGAAGACCAGTTTCCCTAACAATCCCACAGTATGTTTAAAAACATGGAGTTTGTTTTGATCGATTTGAATACTTTGACATCATTTTACCTGACTGTGTTATTACTACACAGTCAGGTCAGATGATTTAAAAGTACTCAAATCGCGCTGAAACTTCGTAAAACCAAAGATAACGACTCCAGGTAACAATATTTACACTTTATTGATAACTTAATAAAACATAAACAACTTCCCAGCTTTTCAGTTTCCCACTCACTAATTCCATACACCCGGCAACTTGAGATCTTAGTGACAGCCTTGTGAATCTAACTTTTACATTATTAGTTTATGAAATGATTTATTAATTTGGATTTTTTTGTTACATTTGACTGTAAAGACTTCTGCGAGTGAAAGAACTAAGTCAAGAAACCATCAGTGTTATACATGTATTACATGTATTACACTTTCGTTCTTTTTATTTTTTTATCTACAATTGTTTAAGCTTTTAATTTGAATTATGCTAAATTATACTAAATATTTTTGATTTTGAAAGAGACCATTTTGACCCACCTTTACGTTTGTGAGTTAGAGTTGCTGTTTTTTATCAAAATTTTCTTGTACCCTACGTGTAAATACTAATAATTATTTTAAACTATAAATCATCTTATATGGTATAATACTAGCTAATACTAAGTTAAGATGATTTATATTTTTTCATTTTTTGAGAAGACTGTTTTGACCCATTTGAAAAGTTTTTGTACACTGTATCTTCTTTTTTAAACCTTACTTAGTTAGGTGTTGGAAAAATTTTCATCTTTTCGATTTTTATTGTAATGACAGAGATGCTAACACAGAAATAAATCATGTTATAATATTTAGAAAATTCATTTTTAGAGAATCAGTTTGTTTTGTTTTTTAAAACCTTTTCAGGGCTATCCTTAAAAAATTGCGATTCGTATTTGCAGTTTTTGCAGTTACAAAAATGTAGCATGCCTGGCGATGTTCATGGCATTTGAAATGTGAAAATAAAGATATAGGCAATTTGAAAATTGGTTATGGTAATGAAAAATTGGAAACTGAAAAGAGCCCTACTTTTTAAACTACAACTTCTGTGCATGTCCGCGTATCGCGTAAAAGTATTGTCTAAATAAGATCTTTACACCCCTGACTTGATGCCTCAGTTATGCTGGTTTAAATCTCTAATTTAAAGCGCATTCACACCAACTTTACGCAAAGCTTAAAGTGTTTCTTTACGGTAGCGTAAAGTTCGACTTTAGGTGGCTTAAATGGGTCGTAAAGTTACGTAAATGAGAACTTTACACCAGCTTTTTTCGCTCTTAGGAATTCAACTCCAGGAGAGTTCGCATACATTCGACAAAAAAAGGAGATGGAATAATCGCGATGAAGATTGGAAAACCACGAATTCACTTTTTAAAGTGACGTTTTACCTGCTGTCGCCGTCTTCGCATCCTAAGGTCCCTATTGGTGTCCCAAAACAATGAAACGGCGGCCATGTTGCTGTTCCAAACACTTTCTTTTGTCGCGATAAATTTGCGTAGATGGTGGCCGCTTGAGTAAAAACGATATATAACCCTTATGAGGTGACGAATTAACCAATCGCTTCTTACTAATAAAACGAGACTGAGGATTTGAGGTTAGATAAGTTCTCGATAAGTTACTTCTTTCATCACTACAGGAATCAGTAGACTTCACAGCTCCCCATTTCTAAATCTAGGTGACGTCAGCAAGACCGCCAACAAAGTTACTATGATGGTAAAGACATAAATCCATGCAAAAAGTCGATTGATTATTATCGCTGCCATTCTCCATTCCTCTCTCATGGTGTCCGCTTCTTCTTGCTTGAAAATATTATCCGTCAAGACCGTCATGTTCGTTTGTTCTTTGCCTCTGTTTTCGCGCAGTTTCACTGCAATGAGAAACAACAATTTTAAGCTCGTGTAGCCTGGGCGAGAGCAAACCCTTCCGACTTTTTTCTCTCTCGCCGCAACTACCAGTTTCCCCCTTGAAACGTTTATGAAATAGAAGTTGAACAAGTAGTGATATCTTTTTAATATATTCTTTGATGTTTTCTCCGCCCCAGAGACAATTCTGAAACTTGAGAGAAATTGCTAGCTACACATGTGAGAAGGGAGTAGGAGCTGGACCGCATTTTCACATGAATCAGATAGCTTAAGCCTTTTCCTTTTTAATATGCGCCTTTTCGCTAACGGTAATTTTCCACTGCCGCGCGTAATTTTAAAGTGCATACGCACGTAAATTTTATGCGCGGAAATAGAAGAAACAAAACAAAAACCAGTGAATGGAAGACCATGCGTAAGCGTAAAAGTTGAGCGCGAGACGATTTGTTAAAAAATTTAGGCAAAACCCCGGGCAAGAATGCAAAATTTCCATTAACGGTTGACGTACGTCGCTGCAAACGTCTTAAAGTTCCCTAGGGTTTCCTTTGCTTCTCACGTCTCTTCGAGTGTAGAAAGCTTGAAAGGGAGTTCAGCTGTCATATTACTAGCTTTGTTTACCTTGTCGAAACTCTTGGACAATTTGTGCCTGTCTCACTCGGCCTGCCGACGTGCTTAAACGCACCAATCTTGCACAATAATTGAGCACACAAACCTACAAGAACGAAAATATTATGTTAGTGATACCATTTTTGTCCTTCCTCTGCGCAAGTACTATTCATGTACTTGAGACCGAACTGTAACCAATATTTGGGTCAAACAGACATCATTACAAAAAAAGGGAGGTGGGGGGGGACAAAATTAAATGCGGTTGTCTATCGAGTTTAGAACTTCTTGCACAGCGCCGAAAAACGCTATCGAGACGGTCACGGACCAATCTACATTGGATCTAGTACAAAATGTTACTCGATGTCATATTGCATAATCATAGCGTCAGTAAAATTGCTGTGGTTGCTGAGTGCCATTTTTAACACAAGCTACTTAGTGTGACGTGTGGGGGAATGTTGATCAAAAATCTTTTTAGTCAGAAACATCCTTTTAGGCTTACACCAGAGGAATCCTTGTCCAAAACTTCCAGTTGGAGAAACACTGGACTCATTGATTACATTCGCGTATTATGGACCTTAAGATCAGACGACGGCGACGTCAACGAGAACGTCATAAAGGCAATAGGTTTAAGCAAAACAATAACTTTGCACGTGCATAAAACTTTTTTGTACATTTCTTTGCCGTTTTTGCACGACTACGACGTGAAAATGCCATTTCATATTTTATAGAGGGTGTAAACAAGCAACGACGAAATTTTCTTTGTCTTTCTTAACTTGGATAAGGCTCTCAGTAGGAATTCAACTCCAGGAGAGTTCGCGTACATTCGACAAAGTAAACGAGATGAAATAATCACGATGCCGTCGCTGTTCTCGCATCTTAAGGTCCTTATTACAACATCATAAATATACCCGGATCCAGGCGGGGATTGGGGCAGAGGAGTTGGTGGGATGATAAAAGCGTAGCATGAGGCAAGCCATGCCCATTGCCGCTGACACCTCGATAATAGTGCAGGCGTAGTAGACAGCAATAAGCGGAATGACTTTGGAGGTGGCTGGTAGCTTGGCCTGAGGAAGAAAATAGACAAAGTGGTGGTCACAACAATTATCTGACTGAGTATCTCAGATGTACTTGATTTCACAAAAAAGGGATCAGATACATTCGTTTATGAATTAGTCGCTGATAGCTTAGAGTTTTTCAATGTGTATGCAAATACTCAGTCCAAACATGCCCCAGCCAGAATAATCCCTTAATGGCACATTTGATCGTCGTTAAAAACTGCCAGAAATATTTAGAGCAACCTAGAATCGAAGCGCGTACGATCATTTCACTGTAGAAGAGATCTAGTGATGGGTTTCGAAAGGCTTGAAAGACCTTTCAAAATATTTGTTGGTGCAGGAAAGAGGAGTAATTTCCAATCAAATCTACAAGAGCTGCAATCCGGGTCAAAAGGTTCTAGGATACCGATCCCCTTTCACGTAGGTTTGTATGGAATTTGCTCGTATCCAGCAATACACACTCATAAACACGGACTTATCAAGGTTTTTCCCCCACCCCACCTCACTGACCAAAGCTAATCCGGTTTATAATCAGTGCAAGATGTACAAGTAACTAAAAGGTATTTGACTTATTCTAACACCCAAAACTTTCCAATAGGGGAGGGGGATTAACTTGAAGTGCAAGTTCCCTTCATGAAAGACAAAATGTCCCAAACGGTTTGACAAACATTGTACTAAACCTTGTTTGACACTAATTGGTTCATAGTTTTTAGGACTTGGATACGACGCTGGGCTATCACAAGCAAAAAAAAAACAAAACAAAACCAAACTCACCATCAGCATCAACAACAGAATGGTAAAGGACAAAAGAACAGTTACTCCAAATGACATTCTCTCGCCAGACTCCGGAGGCAACAGAAAAACAAGCAGGGTTAAGACGGCGATCAACACGCATGGCAAAATGAAGTTCATCAGGTAAAATAAGGTACGACGGCGTAATTCCAGACGGTAAGTTACATCCGGAAATTTTCCATCACAACAGTCGTACTCCAAAACAGTGCGTTTCGATGTAACGCCACTAAGTATCCACTCACCATTTTCTACATACCTGCGTTGTTACATACGTATAATTACCGTATTGCTGGTTTGCACGTGACGTCACGGCGGCCATGTTGGTGGTCAAGAACAAAAGCATTTCTCTCCTCTGGGAACTAAACTCTATTTTCATGTAAATTCTTCGAGAAAAAATTATATTCTATTGACAACCAACACACCACCAACATGGCCGCCTTGTCACATGGTTGCAAACCAAGAATAACAAGTTGATAAATACCCGTATACCTGGGGATAAACGTCATTTAATTTGATTTCTTCCGGGCTACGAATCATTTTCAGTGTTCATGGAATTAAAATTTCGGGCGTTAAAAAAGTTAAATGATATTCACATTTATTTTCATGAGATAAACAATAAGATAAACAGAATGTTTGAACTTGCCAAGGTTAAATTTTGAAGGGGTGATTAACACAAAATTTAATACTGGCTTTTGTTGTAAAATGAGGAAAAGTGTACAGCCAAAATTTAATACGGACACCAAAAATAAACATTCTAGTGTCCATGGTAGATGCGACGATCCTCACGTATGTTCTAGTCTTTTTGCTTGTATGTTTTGTTTTCTTAGTGTTGATATTCTCTGGAGGGAATTTTTTCTGAGGTATACAGGTCAAAATTTGAAAGTAACAGTTCTTCAGTGTAACATCACATAACCTACATTGCAAAAACAAGCTAAGTGGTCTATTTGGCGGCTTTGGAGCATTCAAGGTAATAGACCATTTTACCGATACGGCGGCCATATTGAATTAATTCGATTTAAGGACTATTATGGGATGCCCAAGGGGCATGAGCACAATCTGTTGCACTCGCTTAGTATAAGAAATATGGTCTTTCAGACTTTCACAGTACATTTCCGGGGAAAAAGGCGATCAATATTACATCCAAAAACGGCACAACGATCTCCTTCCCATTACAATCTTATTCTAAGAAAATTTTTAGAAAAATGCTCCAAAAGGCGCTTGAAATACTAAACGGAATGTGCTCATGCCCCCTGGGCATCCCAAAATACTCCTTAAATCTAACTTATTCAATATGGCCGCCGTATCGGTAAAAAGGTCTGCTGTCAGTAGGAGAGAAGTGTCGGTATGATTGTCCGTTCCTTGTATAGGGCGTTCCCATATATACCACTTACGAACTTAAGTCTGCGCCTTCTCTCCGTGGATAAACGTCCAGGAAGTCACTGTTATAAGACCACGAGCCAAACTTAAGGTCACAAGTTTGATCATCCAATGGGAAGAATGTGATATCGATTTCACACGAGCTCGTGAAGATCACCGGATTCAACCATGATACATTCCCATCATACTTCACAACCAGGCGAGCTGCGTTACCGCGCCCGTCCGTCACCTCCTCGGCGCTGTTGGGAATAAAAAGAAAAACGATGAATTTCCAGTGAATTTTACTTTCCTCCATTGCAACTTGGGTTTTTGCTACACCTTTAATCTATAAATATAAGTGCGGTATGTTTTTTGAGTCTTTCCTATATTGATTAGTACTTGGCATAAACTACCATGTTGGACAGACAGATAGTGGTGTGTGGCGAGACATTGCCCGAGGAGACTCGAAATGATGATGATGATGATAATGACGATGATATTAATTAGACTTAAAGCTTTGATTTTCTGCACGGGGAAAGACGGGACAGAAACGAATCTGTTTTAACACCGTTATATCATGTGCCCATTCTATGCTTTTAGAAATTCATTTTAGAAGACAAACAACCAAAGAAACAAGGAAGCAAACAAACAAAAACACAAAAACACACAACAGTTCTCTCTGGCATCGTATCATTTTTAGCTACTGAGAAAACATTAGGATGCCTCGCTCTTTCACTTCCCTTTGCGAGATCTCTAGTGGCTGATGACAATGATAACTCAATGGTTATAAACTGTTTATGATGTTGTTATTATATACCTATGTTGATTTTTGGTGATGATGATCGTGATAGTGACGTTGATGATATCGGTGACGTCAAAGAGATAACGTCGACGACGATGATGATGATAATGACGATGACGAATGTGATAATGATAATAAAGGTTATAAATGATAATGGTGGTGGTGATTGTGAGCAGATGATACCACTGAAAACGAGTTATATCACTTTCCACATCGTATTCGCACCTATTCAGTAGCACAACATCTGGCAACCACGCCTTCTTTGGGTTGATGATAACCTGCGAGATGTTTTCAAATTCAGATTTGTTCCAGGAAAGTCGTGGATCATTCCAGAACTGCAAAAACAACAGTTATATTATTGGTTTTTATTTGCTAAAGACGTTTGCTTTTCACTTTCCCGAGGTAAGTTACTTAGGGAAAAATCGGTCACATTTAAAAAATCAAGTTTCCCTAGGTAAACTGTCAACAAGTCGAGTTTTACCTAGGTAAAAGTCTGTAGTGTGACCACAACTATTGTAGCTACTCGATCATTCAACTTCTTTCTCCTGTTGTGACCATACATTACGCCGCATACCTCTTGCAAGATGATTAAAGTAGGCAAGGAGTATTGTATGTGAACTCCTTCAACAACTTGAAACTTTTTTCCTACCTCTATCTCGTCATTTGTAACTTGTTTTTCTTGTTTAATCTTAGGAAATCAAACAAAAGATCGAATTGATAACATATTCCCCTACCTGTCTCATCCATACATTTGTGGTAATGACCTCCTCTTTCTCATCCTATTAAAAAGGATTATTTCGGCTTAAATAAATGGTTTTAATATTAAATCTAGTCAAGTCAAGTCACTTTTCAATCGAAATAAAAAGTTTACGAAAACAATAAGTATTAACATTTCATTAGATAGGAGATACACAACAGACACTAAAAAGATATATACTGAGTAAAGGGAGTTGGTAACTACTAAACTACTAAAAGCCAACTACTAAAAGTGAAATCTAAAGTTTTGTTTACGAGGAAATTAATAATATAGCTTAAGTAGTGGGGCATGAAACTAGCAATACATTAAGAGAGGCAGATCATAACTTGTGGGCAGGGCTCACTTGTGCGAAGCCGCCAACTCATTCGCGCTGTACATGTATGGCGGCTCCACCGCCAAAGACACCAAAATTTTCCCCGAATTCTCACAAGTGAGCCTGCTTAGGCAGATTAAAGATTTCCTTTTAAATTGACTTCTATTTCTAATTTAAAACAGACTCATTCGATTCTTCAGTTTAGAATTCTTAAGAATTCTAAAACTGAAGAATCTGCATGGTTCCAAATAGCTAGAAATTAGTTATTATTAAGATAGGCTTAAGATAGTAATTAGTTATTAGTGGTAATACACAGAGCATGAAGATAGGAATAAACTAGAAACAAGATAGCTTGTAGATAGTTTCATTAACTAGCTTTAAGATAGAAAAAAGATAGTGTCTCATTTCGTAAGGGTTAACATAATTGGTGTAACATTTCTTAGAGTTTCTGACGCAATTTATTTCTGGCCTTAGCAACAACAATAGAGTTGTTCTTGATGACGCTGACGTTGCGGTTCAGTAAATTTTCCGCTTCAAGGGACTTGATTGGCCTCTCTGGGTTGATTACGAGCCTTTAAAAACTTTGTATGTCTGTTATTTCCAAACTCATCACCACGAAAGTAATCTTGATACAGAAGAACATTTTAGGTCGCTCCTTGAAGGAGCTGTGTTATTAAAATTCTAACAATGTTAATTACCAGCAAAAAGAGTGAGACGCAAAAATAACTGCTCAAAGCATTAGAAGAAGGTATGAATATCACAGCAAGTATATATAACAGAAGGCACGGATGGATAAACTTGAAGAAGATTAAGGCTGTATTCCCATAAAACCGAACAGCTTTTGCACCGACACGAAAACCATTACAGGACAGGGCTCCATTCCATACGTACATACTCGGCCGTTGATCGATGTCGGTGCGATTTCTGTCACGGAGCGAAGATGTGCTGCGCCGATCTCTATAGTGGAGGTCGTGGAGAGTAAAATATCGGATAGGTGTTCATACTACAGCGGATGGCTTTTCGTGTCGGCTCGAAAAGCTATCCGTGTGAACAATAGCCAAAAACGGATAGCTATTGATGCACTTGTTGACGTAATTAAAACAGTTTTTTTAAGGTATATTTTTGTTGTTTGTAAACTTGAAGAAGATTAAGGCTATGTTCGCATTATACCGGATAGTTTTTGCGTTGACACGAAAAGGGTTTCTGTTCACACACAAGAACGGTGATTTCGGCGCGATTTCTGTAACGGAACAAAGCTGCGCTGCTCCGATCTCCGGGGGGGAGGGGTGGGGGAGTACTCCTGGGAATTCTTGGTGGGGGGTGTGCCGCCCGGTCGCTCAAATCCTGACCCGATTTCAGACCAAACAATGTAATTTCCCACACCCTTTTTCAGACTAGTCCTCTAAAATCCGTACCCGTTTTCAGACCTGGCCTTTAGGCAGAAATTACGTTATCATTACTTAGCCGTTAGAGCGCAAACAAAAAATTATTCAAATCCATTTCGAATTCGCATGATTTTTATTTCTCCTTCTTTCTTACTCATTTGGAATTGGAACGATAAATACGTTCATACACTCCGTAGTTCCCTCGAAAACCATACCCGATTCCAGACCAAAATGGGCAAAGTGTGTACCGTTTTCAGACCAAAACGGCGCATAAACCCAACCCGATGGGGCGGCACATAGCTATATGGCTTATATAAGGGAGTACCCCTCTCCCCCGGGGCCGTTCTCTAAAGTGGAGAGTCACATATCAGAGAGGTGTTCATACTATACTGGATAGGTTTATCGTGTCGGCACGAAAAGATATCCGAACAACAGCCAGCCTAAAACGGATAGTAGCGGTGAGGTACTTGACCTAACAGTTTTTTACTGACGTTCGATATAATTCTTCGGAGACCTATACACAAAGCCATTATTTTTGTCATTTAAAAAATGAAGTAATTTCTTCCTAACTACGTATCCATTTCTAAGGCGGATACTGAGTTATATTGAATTCAGACGCATAACTGGCAACGGAAACAAAATGAGCTATTAGCCTTGACAAAACCCCTTTTAAGTTTAACACAAACTGAGAAAACTTGAAAAAGCAGGCAAATTTTTCAAGTTTACATGAATGCAATCTGTTCTAATCTAATCTTCAGGGGGCCTTCAAAGGATAAAATAAAACATTACAGGAGGGTATTACAGGAGCCTATTAGGCTTCTGAACATTAGTAATGTTTTTAGACTGGCAAAATTAATGGAATTTGAGAGTCACTGAAAGAGACTTTTTGGCATCAGGAATGCTGTTCGTTTCCGCAATTTCAACTCCTTCTTTTCAGTAGGTCCTGCTCACTGTTCATTGAGCTCAGATGCCCTCGGGGGGGCAGCTACACGACTAACATTTCGGTATAGTTTGGTATAGGTTTGGGTATAGGTGAGCCGTTGAGGATTAGCAAATTAGCAATTGCAATGAAGCAAATTCAGGTTATAGTCATTGCTTTTTTACACTTGGAGTACAAACAAATTTCTTCGATCAATCCGTGCAGGCAATACCCTGTTTTATAACTAGGACAGACTCGCACGAAATTATGTACACTGCCTGTAGGACAGAGAGGTAAAAACCATACGCTGTCCAGCGGCAGGCTCCTGCCCATATATATACGCCAGAACACCCACCCCCCGATCACGCTTTTACAAATAGTTTGCGTGACGAAAAATTCAAATGAAGGCTCGCTAAAATCAAATAAAGGCAGATTGAAGACTGGGAACGGGTCGTCAGGTGTGAGCTACGTAGGCGCTGTATGAGACATCGAAGGTGGAGTTGAAGTCCTAACGTTTGAGAATTATAGTTATTTTACTTTGCAATAATGTCAAAACGTGACGAAGGCAGTGTGGAAAATTCTGAGCATAATAGTTTAATGAATTACAATAGTCAGGCCTACGGGCATGATTTCGTTCAAGAAAATGTTAAGAGATATATTAAACAGTTCGAGCGGGGCAAAGAGAAGTCGGAGCGAGAGGCGAAACGCAAAGAGCGAATTCGAAATGTCGCCGACATTTCGAACAACTTCTATACACTTGTCACCGACTTTTATGAATATGGGTACGGACGATCATTTCATTTCGCACCGGTCCTATCCGCGAGCTCTTCCTTGCAGGAGTGTGTTTTGGCCTATGAAAGAGAAATTGCAAGAACTATAAAGGCTAATCAAGGCATGAAGCTACTGGTAGGTAAACTCTCTTTTTCATTGCTTTTTCATTTTGTCATTGTACTTGTATACGTTCGTCACCAGGAAATGTTAAATGAGGCTATATTTTGTCTAGACACTTTGAAACTAGTGTCAAAATATATTGTAACCTGAATTAGTTAAAGTTTCATTTTTTTTTTAAAGCGCGGCCAAAAACGCATACTTTGGACCCGATTTCAAGATGTCAAAAGTTCGCGGTGTTTGATTGGTTGACAGTCATCACACCACCTTCTAATTATGCCCCTACTTGTTTATCATAAGTATGTTTTCACTGGTTAATTTATGTGCCGTTACCACAGGCAGCCCAAGCGCAAAATATTAGCATCGGCATTATGGCGAAACATCCCGGAAATTTTAAGATTGGTATGGGTGGGAGAGGACCTATCGTTACTTGTAACCAACGACTATAAAAGGATTTCAATAAAAACGACTAACCTTACGTAAACTGTGCGTTACGTCTTTTCTCTCACGGTGCTCCGCGAGCCGATTTGTGGCCATTTTTATGGGTTTTAGTGTAACCGAATACAGTAACTGGTGTGAACCGATATACTCTCCCAGGATACATCCTTTCCCATGAAATCATTGTGAAATGGGAATAAATAGGCTCGCAGACCTCAAAGGAAAGACGAAACACATATTTAAAGTAAGGTAAATCGAAATTCTTTTATATTCTTAGGGTACAGGAACCTTAGTTCCCCCCCCCCCCGCTTTGGCATACAAATCCTTTTACTTGGAACGTTACGCTACAATTCCGATCCTCATATTTCGAGCTTGGGAGACCTGTGCCATTACTCGACCTTTAGAATTATGAAGTCAACCGAATCATACCAATAACCAGTGACAACCTGATGATGAAGGATTTAAAACAACGGCTGAAAAAGGACAAAACAAACATTTGATCCAAAATTTATAATTATCGTAAGGCTCAGCTTTTTGCTCTTTGATGGTAGAGGACGTAGAGGTATTAGAAAATGTGTTTAGATGAACAGTTTCCTTTTCCGTTACACTGATTTCATCCGGTTTCGCGATTCGAAACCCAGGTCTGGGCATAAGTTCGGGGCACCATATTTGTGCCCCTCGAAAGGCCACACACGTGGTGTCCCCTTTCTGGGCTCTTAACGATTGTGCTAGTAAAAGAAGTATATGCCATTAGCGTTGCCTAATTTTTTCCGAATTATATATGCTTTTCTTTGAAAATTTTATGCTAATTTTTCTTCAAATTATGCGATCATGCATTGAATGGTACTATTTTCACGTCAGATGACCCATGGCCTTGTATATGCCTTTGGTAAGCTTTGATCAGACCAATTTCAACGGGGTTTGGTCTATCAGCAAGTTGTTTGGCGCCGTCTCACCCATCTCGTTGCGTACGAAACCGGAAACTAGGACAGACGCAATCTTTCTGACTTTCGGTGTGCCCAGCTCTCTCGACCATGAACAGCACCGTGTCCTCCCTCTCTTGACGAAAACATTAGACTGAAAAATGGATGCACTTAAAAAAAAAAATCAATCTGGACCGAGCAAGAATGAGTCTGCCGATGGTCCGTTCAATGATTAAGCTGAGCTAAATGAAAAAAATACCGTGCTTATGATAGCATTGCTACTTTTTTAAAGAGCAAAGATTATGCTCGTTTTTCCGGCCACAAATTATGTATGGACAGTTGATAAGGGCCTACCGCTTACTATCCGCTACGATTACACGCTTTGAAGCCGGCCTATGCAGCGGGAAAGCGCACAGAACGGAGACTTGAGGCCAAGTTGTCTATTTATTGATATTCTGTAATATATCAAATTTAATTTTCAGTTAGAAATTCAGTGGATGTGATTTCAGTTTACGATAGCGTGACATTTAAATATGCGCGTATTCAAATTCGCATCGCGTGATACACAATTCGCTCTGGAGCTGGTGCTTGTCACGTGAAGAAAAAACGAAACGAAATAGATAAATTTCACATACAGGAGGCATTGGAGGAGTGTAGTTGAGTGGAGGCATGAGCTAAAAATCACAGCTATTTTACTCTCCAAGGGCCTCAAGGAGAATGATTGTTTGCAGGCTTACTGTGTATCTATTTAATATGTACATTTTTGCGATTTTAAAATAAAATGCACGACCTTGAAATTTGCAGATGACTATTGACACACGGCACTTGCTTAAACTTTAAAGTGCAGAACTAATGGTTCAAAATATTAATTGCAGTGATCGAGGTGATTCGCATGGCCGATTTTTGCGCCTTTTCCCCGATCTTCGCTTGCAGGCGTCCGACACGTATGAGTGCAATTTAGGTAAAAGACCTATCGAGACGCCTACGGCAAAAGGCAAACGGCAAACGTCAGATTCTCGCTAAGAAATTCTCAAAATAGAAAATGACCAGATAAAAAAAGCTTAAAACAATTCTTATGGATAAAACTGGCGTCAATCCACTGATGTTCGCATAGTTGTAATGACAGCAAACGACAACTTAAGAGAAAATTTGGTCACGTGGTACAGATTCACGTTTGACGTTTGTCATAAACATAACTCGAAACTCTATTTTGAGGAAGCGCGAGGAGTCGCGTGTGAACGGCACGCGAACAGAGGCGCGAAGGTGAGAGGCGCGTTCTCTCGCGAATCTCTTCACTCTCCAGAAATGGCGAGCTTGGTCGCAGGCTATGGCAATAATAGACCTTTTTACCGATACGTATACGGCGGCCATATCGAATTATTTAGGTTTAGAGAGTATTATGGGATGCCCAGGGGGTATGAGCACGATCCAGTATACTTGCATCAGTATTTACGTGCGCTATTCGGGTCAATTTTTCTTTAAGTTTTCCTAGAAAAACATCGTAATGGGAGAAAAAAGATCGTTGTGCCGTGTTTGGATGTAATAATGATCGCCTTTTTCCCTAGAAAACATACATTAAAGTTCTCTTTTCGCCAGAAAGCGCACATAAATACTGAACGATTGCCCCCTGGACATCCCATAATACTCCTTAAATCAAATAAATATCATTATGGCCGCCATATCGGTAAAATCGGGTCTATTTTAAAACCATGACATGCGCATTTTGTTATAGGATGCCGGTTGTGGTGTAGGGGGACCTATGATAAATATTGCCAAGTCCACCGGAGCTCATGTAGTGGGCCTTAATCCCTGTGAATATCAACTCAAGCGAGTGAAGTTTCACATCGAAAACAACAACATGCAAGAATGCTGCATTGGTGTTAAGGTCAGTTTTAATTACTCAACAACTTAGTAACCTCTGGTTGTGTGAATGTGAGCAACTGTTTTTCAGATCACAGAGAAATTGGATGAAGTTTGTTTGGATTGGGTGTGTCGGCAGAAACAAATATTGGCTGCAACGCAGCTGATATGAAATGATACTTGTAGCCCAGAATTAGCTAAAAACTCAGGAAAAGGTATTAAAATATAAACCTTGACACTAATTTACTAAAATTTATTTAGTATTGATGTCATTCATTATTCTTCTGCCTTATGAGTCTGAAAAAGCACCCAGTTATTAACCAAAAAAGGCCGAGAAATGTTATGTTAACCACTGGTTTGTAAAATACTACGGTCGACAAGGTCTTTTTGATCAGTAAGACCAACTACAAGAAATATGCATTTGTAATAAAATAGCTTTGCTTTGCTTAGTTAAGCAGTCTGAATGGCTTTTATCAATTAACTTTTGCAACAAAAACGTCAGAGAAAAATGAACACAGTAAAATTAACTCGAACAAAGATTTCCACTTCTAGACGCACATAATCGGCAACTTAATTGTTTTTTTCTTTCTTTGTTTTCAGGGAGACTTTCATCACATGGAGTTTGGCGACAATACTTTTGATGGAGGGTATGCGTTAGAGTCCACTCTTTACGCAACAGACCCGGAAATTGTTTACCGAGAAATACGACGTGTGCTAAAACCTGGTGCTATCTTTGTTGATTCTGCCTGGGCTATGACAGAGGCATTTGACCCAAAGAATGCAGAGCATGTGAAGATCAAGGAAGGCATCGAGGTAATTCAGTAAGAGAGGTAGTGAATGATGAATTTTCTGGGTACAACAGAGTACTAAAGTGATGACGTCGTAAAAATGAAATTTCTGAAATTATGGGATTTGTCAGGACATTCTGAAAGAACAATGTCCAAGGGGCCTACTTACCAAAAATGAGCATCTCGGGGCAAATTGTCTCTGAGATGTTAGCCGGTTATACTCAAAACACTCCACACAAACCCTTCTAATTTCTTTGGATCGACCCCAAAAAATTTTGAAGGGTTTGTATGGAGTTTTCTAAGCATAACTTGACTACGATCTCCTAGACAATTTGCCCCGGAATGCTCATTTTTGGCAAGTAGGCCTCTTGGACATTGTTCTTTCAGAATATCCTGACAAATCTCATGATTTCCGAAATTTCATTTTTATGACGTCACAATTTAGTACTCTATTGCTCGCGTCCTTGATATCTCTTGGCAGGAGGAGCACAAAACCCCGGTTTTACACTATACATGTACGAATGATTTGTTTCCATTAATCAGTGATTTAAGAAATATGATTCTGAAATACACGCCGTTCTGGAATAAACGCCGCATCAGAAACGCGGCTAAAAATGTATTAATCGGTTAATTGAGTATAATACGGTAAGGGTTCTAAAAATAGACTCATTGAATCACGCTCTGTGATATTTGCATTGAGACGTGATTGGGAGCGTCAGAGTAATGGGATCCTGGCTCCGCTGTGTGAGAGTATTGTCATGATGCTACTAAAAAAGATCTATATATTGATGCAATCCAGTTAAATATCAGTTATAAGTTACCAATTGACTAAATCGCGTTCCTGTGTTAACTTCATTAGATTGGTAATGGCATCCCCGATCTGCGAACTCAACTTGTCCTTTTGGAAGCAATACGGAAGTCGGGATTGGAGATCGTAGAGTATAAGAATGCGCATTGTGATGGTGAGCTTCCATGGTACGTAACTGTTAGAAAATAGTGCGAGGTTAAAGACATCTAGTAATACTGAGTCTCATCCAGTAATACTGAGCCTCATTGTTCATTGGCATGCGCATTGAGAGAGGAAAGGGCGGAAGGTGGAAGTTCGATAACGTAGGGGGAAAACCACGCAACAATGCCTAAAGCGAGGAAGCTAAGAAAATGGGGCGACGGCAGGATCCCATGGGCTCCTGACGGCGGCCGGAAATAAAGATATAGGTGGTGGGAGGTTTGGAACTTACTTCCATCCCCCTCCCCCAGTAAGCATCAATAATGAAAACCCTTGTAGTGGACACATCATGTTGTACTATACAACGTTGGAAGTACACTTAGCTGCTCTAGCCTCGACATGTTACCCTCGACCCTCGACCCTTGACCCTTGACACCTTGACCAAAAGTCGGACAGGGACTCGAACCCGAAACTGCCGAATTGCGAGTCTGATATGCTGACCACTTGAATTGGTCAGGCTTCCTTCTCCAGTTTTTACTGACTGATCTGACCTTTCAGTTTGGCTGGCTATTTAGTCGAAGGGTTGTACAACGGCATAAAACAACTTCCCATTCCCAACCTTGCAAACTAAAACCTCGCAAAAACGTTGCCTAGCTCAGTTAGTGGAGCGCTTGAGTGCATAGAGCAGGAGGCTGGGGGTTAGATTCGACCCTCTCTCTTAGAGTAATTGGTCGGACCAATGCTAAAGGTATTCAGTAACACACCTGGGAAATGAAAGCACTGTCTTTGACCTGCAAGCGGGCGGACTTTTGAGTGGCTCTGATGACCACGAAACAAATAGCATCTTCAACTTTCTTGCTCAATACAATGACAGTTGAATATTAGTGGTTACAGTGCTTTGCTGCATCTTTCCTGGGAATTCTCAATTTTCTTCTCTTTAAGGTACACATTTCTTGTCGGAAAACACGCTTTCTCTCTGGACGCCTTCAGAGTATCCTCGGTTGGTCGAAAGCTTACCCACTTCATGCTATCAGCCATGGAAATGCTGCGCATTGTACCTCAAGGTTCCACTGATGTTCATAACGTGTTGCTGACTGCTGCGGATGCTCTCATCCAAGGGGGGAGGAAAGACATCTTTACGCCGATGTTTAGATTGGTCCTTAGGAAGCCATTGTAGTGCGGAGAGAAAGCATGGAAAAATGCTCTTTGTGGCACATTAAGCAACAAATTTCAATTAATTTGGAAGTCTGATATCTTCAAAAATGTAGTGTAGTACGCTTTGATATATTCAAGTGGGCGGAGTACGTCTGTTGAACTTTCACAAAACCGGACCAATTTTTTTCCTTTGAGCAAATACATGTATGAATTCATTAAAGTTGGAGACAAAATTACATCTTCTTTTTTTACAAAGTCCCATAATGTAGTGTTTTCTTTGTCTATGTATATTATGGAGTTGATTTCTGCTTAAATTCAGGCCTGCAAAAAGAGCAATTAGGCTGCCTTTCCGGTGCAGTCATTGGTATCAGTAGAAGAAACAAAAGAGGACGAAGAAATACAAGATACCGCATGTAACAACGAGGCAACGTCGTCCGCTTATAACCGCCTTATTTATTCGCTACAATACACAAGAAACTATCCCAGAACACCTTGGCGCAGTTTCATTCACTCTATTATGCACGAGCATTCCTACTTATTCGCCACATCAAAAATGAGAAGGGAATTGTCGCCGAAAATTCCCTTGCAACCGTTCCTCCAATGAGGATAGTTACTGCGGACGTGCTGTTCAGCTATTGGCCAATATTTTCCCCTTCCCTTGTAACAGTCGCAGAAGTTTTTGGAAAAATTAATTTGACCCAGTTTAAATTACTTCTCGTTTAGACTAAAGTGGAGAATGTTGTGTCCACGTTTTTCTGGTCGAGAAGGGGGGGGGGGGGGGGGGGGATGGGGGATCATGGATTTATCCAATGGCTATACATAAGTCTCTAAGAGCACCTATGTTTACCAAAGGTGACAAACTCCTTATAGAAGTACTACAGTATACCCACCACCTTCATCAGCTGAGGTAATGCAATATCAATGAACACTTTGACCACATCTGTCTCCTTCAGAATGGGGCGAGCTTTCTCGTTGTAGTCTTTTAAGATGGCATTCATCAATTTTTCCTCCACGCGACTTGCGTAACAGACTAACAGGAAAGAAAAATATGCCCAACATATCTTAGAATAACTTTGTGTCTTATCACTGACCATGCACTGACTAAACAAAGAGGCTTAACCTAACACAGAATTGAGCAACCAAAAATGAGTTTTGAATCTTTTTTAGTCACAAGAAAAAAAACAAAACAAAACAGAAACAACAACTGTTATTTAAAGAATGAGCAAAAGACAACGTCCCCGGGTGGGCTTGAACCACCAACCTTTCGGTTAACAGCCGAACGCGCTAACCGATTGCGCCACGGAGACTGACTGCTACGTACTCAAGTTACAACTAGGATCTTAATGGGATCCCTTGTCAACTGACATCAAATTACTTCTGTTTTTTAATAGGCCTCCATTCAGAGACCAATAAGAAATATTTACAACTTTAGGACAACTTGTTCCATCATTGTTCACATTCAAACAGGGTTAGAGCCGATCGCGAGCCATTCGAAGAGGGCACTTATTATCATTGCAAACATCGTATATAAAAATTAGGTACAATTCTTTTCGTACATAAAATTTCCTTAAAAATTTATTAGTTAAGAACTTCAGGCGACAGCCTCTCGTCTCTTCCCCTTGCCTAGACCTATCTAGTCCATTGGCAGATACCTGCAAACACGCGAAAACCATCGCGGAAGAAATACCAAGAACAGTTTGTCAGGGGCACCCAACGACTGTTTTCTGTAACATATCAGTTCGGAGAAGCGCATTAGATCATATACCCATGTATTTTGCGCTATATAAATAATAAAGTTATCAAGTTATGTAAATATTGCCTAGAATCACTTTAAGACGGCTAAAAATTTCTAGATGACTGTTCCATACAGGTACAATTTTCAAAGCTTATCTAATAAACCCCCTACGACTTTATGAAGTTTAATTTTTCATATTTCACTCCTCAGGTTAGGATATTTTTCGTAGAAAAAAGAAAACCTAAAATTTTCGGTAAATAAAACTGAAGCCTCTTGTAATTTCGAAAAGGCTTAAGTTCTCCTAGGATGACCGAACAGACACAAATTTTATAGCTCCCCGCAGCGTATAATGCATTTCTGGAGACTGCTAAAAGTACTCTGGGTGGCTAAAAAGCGTTTTCAATGTATTTAGGAGGAAACAGTCATTGGGTGCCCTTGAGTTGCTGATAACTTTCAGTTAAATTCCCAAACTTAAATTATATTTCATCAGCGGTTTCGTGTATTTTGGATTCACCCGCAGAAGGTATGACGATTAGACAGTTTCTATATATATATGATCTACACCGGTCGGAAACACTTTAACTGGTAGTATCTATTGAATGGATACATAACAAAAACAGAGCCACATTGTACACTGAAGTCAAATGAGAGCCGCTAATTGCAGCTGCGTGCAACAACTTATAATTTGTATATTTATAGAACTAGGCAAGGAAGTAAGAGAGTTCTCTTTTCAAGCTTATACCTTGATGAGCCTTCTAGTTCTCAGTTAAACTGGTTTAACAACACAACCGCTGTTTAAGGAAAATTCGTAACTAACTTACCTTGGTTGCATAGAACGACAATCAGTGAAAGACCTAGAAAGGGCATCTTCCTTTAAATGCGTTCAGTCTATTTCCAACATACTCACCAGTTGAAGCTATTATGCTTTTAGGTAGACAATGTTCCTAAAATTGACATGCTTGAAGCAGTTGTCGAAGTTATGCAGTCGCTCACAATAAAACCGCAGGGCAGGTGGCCGGTTTGAAATCCTTGGAAAGTATTTGCATGAGAAGGATGTGGAAAGTGTCATTTTAGATAAGGACCGCGTAAGTGTTCAAAAACCTACGGCGAACTTTTAAGTGAAATGAAAGCCTTTCATTTGTGAAGTTTTTGAGCAGCAATTTTATGTCCAGTTACTACTCAAAACTGTGGGAACCTTCGAATGAAACTGAGTAAACTTCGTAACAGAAAAAAAGAAATTAGGGCAAAGGAAAATGTGAAATTAAAAAAATGCTATATCCTGCAGGCTATATCCTAAAATAGTTGAAAATATGATAAACTGCAATCTTGGACAGAATAAAATAGAATAAAATGGAACAGAAAACCCCACTTACTCTTGCCGCCCAATCCCCCCCCCCTCTACCTCTTCGAAATCAAGGGCTGAAACCGCGCGAACACCGAAACACGCTATATATATATTATCCCTAATCCTTGATTTTTTTATGGGGTGGGGGGCGGTGCAGAGGGTGGATGTAAATTTCCCGTTCATTTTGTCCGAGTTTGTAGGTCAGTCAGGTTACTGGATTACGAATTCCAAAAGTGACTTGGGATAGATGCTTGGGTGGTACATGCGCTCTGGTGTTGCGTGCAAATAAGTCCGACATTCTATTCCCAAGATGCTATTCCTAGATGTTATTGGCGACTACAAGATGCGAACAACCACTGAATACTTAAAAACAGAAGTGAGTCTTTATTTACCTTGGGTTATTTATGTTTTTTTTAAATGGCCATTTGGAGTTCACATTGGACAAACAGCCATTTACAGTTCAAAGAGCTATAAGGTAATGTCAAATCCTCTTAAACAATGTCTTATACAGTAAAAAACCGCGATTAAGAACCATATTTTTAAAAACCTGTTATAAGAAATAAACTGAATACCACTAAATACTACAATGTATTTCTTTTCTTCAGAAAATAAGAACCTATTTAAGAACCTCAGTAGTCTAAATATTTGCTAATTAACATCTATGCTAGAACCTGTTTAGGCCAACTTAGAAAAATGCATTTTTTTACTCTCGTATTTTTACTGTAGTATATAAGTTTTCATGTCAACAGTACCGGACTAGTTCGGTCACCCAGAGCCTCTAAACGACTGATGTTGAAAACGGCCCATATGAGTTAGCTGCTGATAATGATCCAATCGCCATTTTGCCAGCTGCCGATAAACATTTTAACTTGTGCTATTTAAATTTACGTAGTTATGTATTTTATTTATTTAATTTATTTCTCTCTCTACCACCATTTGGCCAGATTCTGATAATGATTCATTAATTGCTTCTATTTTATTTACAAGAGTAAAATTTACCTGCGCGGGCGCACGTAAAAATTACTCGACAATGGACTGAAATGACGCCCTAAGAAAGCAATCAACTACGACCACGTTGTCAGCCCGCTTAAAAAGAACTCACTTTCTTCCAAGAGGCTAAAATGAAATGCCTTTGAAGTCTAGCCTCACAAATTTCGCCATTGTTTTCCTGCAGACTTGAAACATATCCATATCTTCACATAAATGTCAGGTGAGGCATGCAAGGCCAAAACGGATTTGCAGCTGAAAGGATAAACTTTTGTGGATGGAGTCCAACACAGCTAGAAGTTTGGCAAAGTTTGGATACACGGATGCTTTAATCATGAGGAACAAGGTCAAAAATAGAATATAGTCAGGTTATTTATTTTTAACCTTTATGTTAAAAACTTCTAGACTGTTGTTAAAATCTGGAAAACTTCTAAGTGCGCATTGCACCAGAACGCTTTTTTTTTTATCATTCAGAGGGTTGAGTTTTATGCAGTAATTAACAAGAACCAACAGTTCACATCGTTGGACTTGTCCAGTTCCACTGAGTGAAAACGTAACTTAGAGGTAAGAAATTCTTGTTTATTTCAGTCGGGAGCGACCATTTTGGGAATTCACAAGCCGCAGATACAGTCGAACCTCGCTATTTCGAACTCTGTGAATTCGAAGTCCCCGCTATTTCGAAGGAAGATCGAATGCCCTTGGATTTACCCTTCCCCTTTACGCTTCCCCGGTTATTTCGAAACCCCGCTATTTCGAACTTTTTTTTCATTTCCCTTGGGACTTCGAAATAGCGGGGTTCGACTGTAGTTGAGAAATGAGTAATTCTTTACGAGAATGGTCAGTCTCTCTTAAGCAAAATAAACTTGCTTAGGGCGAACGCCTTAGCAAAAAACTTTGCTAACCCGTAGATTGTTAATTACCAATAGATTTCCAGGGGGACCTCCCTTACATTACGTTTACATTAGCGGTATACTTACATTAGGTGAACTCGAGTTGATATAGTGGCCGTAGCCTGGTGGCAGACATGGGACGGGATTTGCTTTGACAATTTGCGATTGGCTAATGTAAAAAAAAAAGAAAACAAAAATAGCTATCAAGCAAATCTTAGGGGCGCTTTCCATTTCTCAGAGCTGGCCGGCCTGAACATTGCCCGACCAGTCAGTTAACAAATGAAATCGGTTTTTTCTAAGAGTATTTACTGAAGAACCATCTCCTTCGTGCATATTATTTAGGATTTGACTGATCTGGCTGGATAGTTTTGATTAAAAGTGAAGTTCTCATCACGATGGGAATAGTCTGGCTGGTCGGCCGGTTCTGACAAATGAAAAACGCCCTTAATTTCCAGCGGGGGAGGTTTACTTTGGGCTGGTGACGTCCTCTAGGCTACCCAGGGAGCCCAGGGTGGATTTGATTTTGTACAGTGCCCAGGCTTCATTTGCTTTGCCGCGCTTTGATCTGTTACAACCACTACGGTGCACATGGTAGTGGCCATTTTTAAATTCTCTTCTTCGAGTTTCACGACAGTCCACTGGATTCCTTTGTTTAGCTGGGGACGCTTCATTTCGTTTCTATATCTGGGCAGTCCTATTTCTGCCTTTGCGTGTTAGTATTTACCGTTTTAGTTAGAATTTCACGAAAACGTAGTGTTGATGGCAGAGATTTCCTCGTTACCTTGTGTCAGTTTCAGTGTATGGAGGGAGGATTTGAGCCGTGTGAGCATTAAGGACAACAACAACTAACTGCAGAGTAACTTTCATTTCATTTCATATCCATAGAAACCGACTGTAACCTAACTTTGCAATTTTCGTTCTGTGGTACTTATAGGCCTACTAACATTGAACCTGGGCGACCTGTGTGTTCGCCTGAGAACGAGATTATGAATGTCCACGCCGACTTGATGTAGCGTGAAGGATTGAACATTCGAAGGTATAATGACCTTCACAGGAAAAAAAAATTAGAAAAGCTTACAATCACCCTTTTTAGAAACATTCACCGAACTCGGTTAAGTTTTTACCCAGGGGGTACCTGTCTACCCTTGGTACCTGTCCAGCCTAGCCTGGACACTTCCAGCTCTGATCCACAGAGATCTGTTTCGCACGTCCATAGCTCGCTTTTATGCAATGAGGGACCGAGAAAAACTATTTTGATGAAAGGTAGCACCGCTTACTAATTACTTATAACACCTACCCATTTTCAGAGCGAAATAAATTTTCTTCAATGCAAAAAGACTAATATGAACGTTGAGCCAAGCTTAAAAGCGAAGCTCCCGTCAACATTATATCATGGACTTAAATCAATAAACTTAAAACCATTGCCAAGACATGTCCAAAAATTGGGGCTTCCCATTTAACTGTTGAGAGGGAGGGGCTAGTCAGTCCATTACGCGATAATATAATCTTCGATTTACGATTTATCGGGTTGAGGGAAGGCCAAAATGAAAAATCAGGCCGAAATTTTGTTCACCATATGTTTCCGTTACTATACTTTTGTGTCATTGCAATATCTGCAGATAGTCAGAATAACCTTAACGATGCCACTACAAGGCACACTGTTTGTTTCCTCTGCGGAAAGGAGACCCAAGAAAGTAAATAACTTATTTATTTGTCCCTGGAGTCCAACAGAGCTGTCCAATGCTGCAGTTTGCCATTTAGTAAAGTTAAGTTTTTTCGCAAGATAAATTAAGCTCTTATTCAGCATACCTGCCTGAAAGTTGGAATTCTTTTTAAAAGTCATCCTCTCAATCAATATTCGCCCGCAAAACAATGATCATGCATTAAACTAATGAACGTCCCTATTCAAGTAGTTTTATAACCTCCTTTAAAGATATAAGAGAGGCAAATAACCTCAGATCGTTGAGTGTCATTATGTTAATTCTTATTTAATTGAACCATGATACTCAGTGGACCCAAGTAGTAAGATACTAAAATATTATTCCGCAGTTATTGTACGCCATGGATGTTTTATACGGTGAAGTATCCAGCTGAGGGACAGGTATTAGCTGGTATTAAACCATTGTTCCTGTCCTTGGCCCTTCAAGGATTTTCCTGCCCTGCTTGTTTCAGTTCGAGAACAATAACATTGTTGTTTCAGATACCTGTTAGTTTCATAAAACAATTGTCAAAAGGAAAACAAAGTTTAAAAACATGCATTTTTCATTAAAACCTGCTATCCACAAGAAGCATGTTTCAGCAGTAAAGAAGATGATACGGATGTATTAATGTATGATAAACTTTGCCAGATCATATCTGACTCATCAGAATTATGTTACTTCTCAATTGGCACGATTGCAGAGCACTTGTAGCCATTTACCAGGGTCATCTTCTGCTGTAGGTGCGTATATTTGCTATCGAAAACCTAGCTTATATACTGTGGTGAATGGGGATTCTTGTGGTAACGATAACATTTTAAAAGAAAACGCTCCAGCTTTCAACAAGGACAGCGAGCTGTGTTAACAAGTAACCTTGGCGTTATTTTGTTCATATACAGTAACGGAAGATGAAGCAAATTCTAACCAATTGACTCAACACGGTTGCACAGGTCTTTTAACGACTTCTGGCATCACATAATTTTCCGATTTTCAGCTGTACTGTGCTTCAAAATATACTGAGCTGACGGGTTTCACTATAAAATGACCCTGGACATTTAATAATTCTAGAAAGTCGATCGATT